GCAGGCTTTCAAGGCCATGAAAAAACAGAAACCCTGGAGTAAAACATCAACATGCTTGTGCTTAGTGACTTAGACATTAGTGCAAAGGAAAATCACAATAAAATCGGAATATTGGTTGAATAATCGCAAATTGAATTTTTGGCAAAATCGTTCAGCCCATATCTGACGCATGTAGTCCTGCAGCAACAACCATTCAGACGAAACATTCCCACCCCCCAACCCCCGAATGTGGCCTCCTCTCCTAGGTTCACGAAAAGAGAGAGAGTTTGGGGGTCTCATAATTGTCTTGAAGAGGTGGCTGCAGCCTTTAGGGTTTGCAAAGGAAAACCTGCATGAAAGTTGTTCCACTAGTATTGAAATTCTATATAATGGCTTGTGGCATTACACTTCAGTTTCTGTTAAAGAACATTCCTTTAGGTTGATGCTGCTGCTGTCGGTGTATAACAGCAGGGATGGCGTTAGCCATATAAAGCCAGGCATACAGTGTACAATTTTTCTGTACGCAGCTACAGCTTAACCTGTACAACAAAACCGCAGAGTTTAAAAGCTCACAGCTCACGATGTTTGTTCTCACACCGTGTGACCCAACGCTCTGATCCGATCTACCTGGTCACGCTATGTCTAAAAACCAGGTGGCTCTCAGCTCCGTAGTAAGATGGCGCTACTCGGACTCGTCTGTCCGGAAGCTAAACGAGTAGAAGAGGAATATGAAGCTTACTAGAGTGAAACGTGCTGCCTTGGTTATTTGTTCAATTTTGTGCTGAAAGCCCTAAAAATAAAAGGCAAGGATGTATTTGGACAAAGACATGGCTGAGCAAACGTGGCTACTACGGTCTGTCAATTTTTAAGAAAGCTATCCATTTCACTCACACCTCTGCCATGCTTCTGTGTTTTCTTCTGAGAGGAAGAAGATAAGAAGATTCTGAGAAGAAGAAGAATCCTTGTTTGCGCAAACCCACTGAGCGATTTACCCACGACGGTCGACTGACAATTAAACATGTTTGATTTTCACCAGACCCTTTAGGTTCCTTAGCGTGGTCATG